TATCATGCTGAGGAAGCAGAGTTCCGTGTAGTTCCGAACAGGCAGCCTAAATGATTGGTTTAAACGGAATATGAAGCCCTGAATTCAAGGCACATCGTACGTTGGGCATCGGTAGCGAGGGGTTCTAGTTGTCGCAAAGAGAGGGGTCGTACTTGCCTTAGAGCGAAAACGTTTCAGTTGTCCACTTTTATCGATTTTCCGTGCTCCAGCCCCCCCTCCCTCCCACCTACTAGAATGTGACCACTGCAGTTTCTGGGAAAAATTGAACTGATTTAAAAAAAAAACTCCGGGAAGGTAATAGGAAATTGGAAAATTCAGGAGAATGGTTGGTGGGATGATGGATGGGAAAGATGAAAAAGGGGCGGACAAGAAGAGAAAATTTCGGGATTCTATTTTGTGAAAATTTCCCCTCACTATAGGACGTGCCCTGATTCCGAGGAGAGCGGAACGAATGCGAATTGCACTTTTGTGGTCCCCCCAACATGCAAGAAACCGTTTAGAAAATCAGCTCCACGGCCTGATAGACCTCCTCTCCCCTTTTCAGGCTCTCTCCCCTACCCTCCTGCTTCACTATCTGGAAGCATCTCTGCATATGTTGAGCACTTTTTTTCAGAAAATTAGAGTATTCAGATGACAATGTCGTCGCCAATGTTAACGTCACCGATGTGTGTGTCGGTAGAATCGAAAGTAACCGGCCAACCGATGTATCTGAGTCAGGAAGCCTTGAATCACATGCAGGTCAGATCACTTCTCAAAGCAATGATTTTTGCCCCTCGTAATTCTTCTGCCACTGTAGGCGTGTCAAAACGAAGCATTCATCTGGAGGACGAAAGCCGCACAGTTGGAGATTGTCGTCAAAGACCAAATGGTGAAAGCCAGTCGTATAGAGGAGGCCTTAAGGGCCGAACTCATGGCAGCTCGGGCTGGACATGTGACAGTGGTTTGTTTTCATTTCTATCTAAGTGAAGTTTTTGAACCCTGCACCGAATGTGCAGAACAAGCGGAGTTTACTGAAAGAGGAATAATATATTGAAAGTCACGGATACTTCTAGCAACATACGCTCTTGTTCACTGCGGATGATGGGGCATGTCAACGGTGA